CAAAGCCACAGCACTGTTTTGCGTCTCTGAGCAACATGATGGTGTTTCGTTCCTGAATGAATCAACCGTTTAAATGGTTTAAATTATTCGGTTCAATCGCAATGACTCACTTATTAACTTTGACTTGCTGCCACCTACTGGCGGTTTTAACTTCACATTTAAAGTATCTTTTAATTTTTTAAAAATAATTTCAAACATCAGTTTTGAATGTTTTATGTTTAAAATGTGAACTGACCACACAGAATATGAAGAATATCAAAAATTCAGGAGTAAGCTGTCCACTGTAGTCCTTAAAATACCAGCACAATAACACACTCAGTGAAATATCGTCTAATTATCGTTATTGATAAAATTCCAGAAAATATCATTTTTTGTCAATATTGCACACCCCTAATTTATGTTATTTAATTTATATAACAATTTATCCATAATAATTGTTTAAATTAATAATTAATACTTTTGACCCATCCATTTTCTTAAAAATGGTTTAAAGGCTGAAATGTAAAGTTTATCATTTGTAAAACTTTTTGTTTTTGTGGAAACTTGTATCTGAACTGTAAATTATGCTTTTTACAGTAATTTTACAGTTTAATACGGTACTGTAGGCATTGCTCTACCCCGCTCATATGGTATTAAATTTATTTGTGCAGGTCTTAAAAAAGATCTTAAAAAGTCTTACATTTGAGCTTAAAAATCCTGCAGAAACCCTGCAGTAGCAAAACAAAATCTTAGTAATTTTGTAATGACAATTATCTAATAAGCTTCATATTTATACTGACCGTTTTAAATGAAACATATAGTCTGAATGGGTTTCTTCTGTTTGTGTCTCAAGGAAAATATGGGATCATCTGTTTGGAGGACCTTATCCATGAGATTTATTCTGCTGGAAAGAACTTCAGGGTGGTAAACAACTTCCTGTATCCGTTCCATTTGTCAGTACCACGACATGCTGCTAGAGACAAAATTGGACTCATTAAAGGTGTTGGTGATCCTGGACCCAGAGCTGAGGACATAAACACAGTCATCAGGAAACTCAACTGAGCCAATAAACACTTCGTTCCATTGACTTCCATTCATACACTTACGAACAGGGGCGGATTGACCATCTGGCAATTCTGGCAAATGCCAGAGGGAAAGGACCATTTTGTTTAATGTGGGCCGGTCAGATTTTTTCTAAATGTATATAAATACAATTGTTTTTACGGGCCAACAGCACATAGGACGGGGAATGCGTAAAATTAACCAAACTCTTTTCAAAAGGTTTAAATTCGGCTGCTGCAGCGGAGGACAGTTAGTGCCGTAGAGGTAAGAAGAAAACAGATAGCACAAGTCATTTTCACACTACTTCTGCCAGTCAGCTCCTGTTTTTTTGTTTTTTTGACAGTAGCCTACATTGTATTAAACAGTTGTAAGCTTAGCATAGAACCCCAGTATATTTTAAAATGTCATTGATTCGTGATAATTGGTTAATTGAAGTGTTAACGAGCCTGTTACTGAATTGCATCAGCAGATAAAGTGGGATTTAGGGTAAAAACTGATGTAGGCTACTTGCAATATAGTCTAACACATCAAAAACCTATAGCAATAGATATAGTACTATAGACATTTGTAGTGAACTTTTCTTTGAATATGTAGATAGTCATATATTAAAATAAAACATTGAGCACGCATACAGTACATACGTTTACAGTATGCAATTAATTCTTAGGTAGGGTGGACTGCAGAGTCAAGTGTCATGGAGGTAGGAAGACACAATGAGAGACACACCCAGATACAGATGCTGCCAGTTTCTTAATAATGTGGATCTAATGAACTATTAATTAACTCTTATGATCGGAGGAACATGTGCCTGTGTCACACACACACACACACACACAAAGAGAGGGAGAGAGAATCACACGCACATACTAGCAACACTTCAGCATACTTTAATTCACAAATAATTGTATATCAGAAAGGATTTACTGCTGCTACTATTTATAGTTTTTGCTATATATTCTATTCCCTTTTTTGCTATTATTACTTGTTTGTATTCATGTGTATTCCAATGTTGAGAGCAGTCAGTGAGAAAATATTTTGCTGTAATGTTTAAGTCCTATACTGTGTTCATTAACTAGGATGTTGCTGGAATCAGTACAGCCAGAGACCCCTGGTCTTCCAATACCAGTGCTGTGAGGAAGGATGCTACGGTAGGCCAAGCAGAGACTGGGAGGAGTATGATAGAGGTAGGAAAAACCCAACAGACAGACAGTGACAACATACTGTAGAGAATGACAGTAACAGCAGACAAATGGCATAAACAGAGAGCACACAGATTCTCACAGAGACAACATCCTCAGATTCTTTTTCTTTTGTTTTAACTGTATGTGTAAATTTGTTATAAACGTGTGCTCTTTAAAAAGTAGTAAGCATTGTTTGCCAGACACATACATTAAATGTTTAAATATCTGTTACACATATGGTACTGCTTATATTATTTCACCATCTGTACACAAATGTAAGTAGTGAATGTGTGTGTCCGTGGGTGGGGCTGTGTCGGTGTGGTAATGTGGGCCGGTGTGGCTACAGTGCCAGGGCTGAATTTTTGTCCCAGTCCGCCCCTGCTTACGAATGTCGGAGAGCAGAAACGCAAGCTCGTGAAGAAATTTCACGTTTTGCTGTGGTCCAAGGTTCAAGTTTGGTGAATTCTGACCTGTGAATTATTAATGCAAATTCAACAAGAGGGGACAATTACAACATACAAATATTCATGGACTCAACTATCAAGCTAAAGTACAATGGGAAGGATTTACCTCAAGTATAAGAGATAAAAATTACCAGATGCAACTAGTTGAAACCTATCACACTGAAAGCAAGGGCTCACTTGTAAAGTTTGATCTTACATCAATAAACACAATCACTAATTTGCAATGTGACATTACACTACAGTTTCTTAGGCTATGCAGTACCAAAACTATGGAGTTTTTTTTGGGGTGAGTTATTATACAGAAAATATCAATTTTTACATAACATCACATAGTAATAACATTGACAGAGAAAATAGTTTTATATACATTGTGTTTCCTTTGTTACATCACATTATAATGTATAAAGGATGAGTACATTATACATCTGTACATTA